CTCCCATCTTCAAATAACTGCAATGTGGGAGAAAGAAAGAAAATTACAAAATGGAAGTCTACATATTGTGTGGATCAGGTAGGATATAGGTAAGTAGAGATAATGGAATGGATTGTTTGGGTTCACATTCAAGGCAATGCTGCATTTCCAGCATAATCCCATATTTAACTCATATACCCACTTTCAAGAAGATCAGGAAAAGTGCAACACACAATATGTGCCATTGGCCCTATCATGAAGCAGAGAGGTGGCTTGTGATGAAAAGGCATTAGCTTACTATTTAATTGGTTACTATTGTATTTTTACTGGTAGGGGTGGGCTGAGTGCAATTTTCTGCCTCATGTGCCAGAACAATTCAACCAGCATTTGATTGGATATGCTTTGATGGTGGATGTGGGATGGTGAGATCCCCATTTATTTTTCTGTCTCAGGCAGCTAAAACTCTTGGGATGATCTGATCAGATGATTATATTTCCCTTGAATTTCAGTCCTGTTTCAGAGGCTGTTTTGGGGTGGGAGGGTGACCTACTCTAGTTTAAATCAGAGTTTCTCAGGTTATCTGATAAGGAGAACCAGCAAATTTTTTTCCTAATTTACCAAGGACTGGTATTGTATTTGTGTCCATTAGCTAAACTGTTTTTTTCTTTCCTGGAAACTCTTCACAGACCAGAAGCAGATGGCCAGCAGACAGATATTGGTGCAGGGATCATCAACTTAAGCAGCTCTGGTGTAAAGGAAAAGCTCATCCTATTTAGCTATCATCTTGGAATTTCAAGATAATAACTATGGAGGAAAGTCTGGACAGAGCAAGCTTATTCTCTTTCCGTGGATGCTTCTTGAAATCAAGTCCTTTCAAATCCATACTTCCTTTGTGAAAGCAAAAGATAATGGTGCAGTGAGAAAAAGACCCAAAGATGTGTGTAGTTTTAATTATGCTTCTTGCTGGAGAGCAATGTTGGGGAAAGAGTGCTCTACTAGCAGAATGCAATTCCATAAGGTTATTTGGAGACACTCAGCACACTCAAATTTTTGAAGAAAATTTTATTCCTGCTAAAACGATTCACTCCCTCCACCCCGAGGATGCTTGGGGATTGTTCACTATATCATTTTAAACAGGAAATGAACCAGATTGACTTCCAGTCTTTAAAAAAGGACACTGCAGAAACAGCCTTGAGGGCCATATGCTATTTGAAGTCTTTACTTCATCTGCCCTGGCATTACAGCTTTAAAAGACTGGATCAAATTATATTTTAAATTTTGGTTTTAGGTAGACTTGCTCCTTTTTGTAAAGTCATCCAATTGGTCCAGTTGGCCTGGCAGGGGATTTCAGATATACAAAGACCAAGAATCCATCTGTTACTCATCCAAAGGCATGTAGAAGAGCTGTAGCTCAGAGTGTATGTTCTGCATGCAGAAGGTTCCAAGTTTAATTCCTGGTTTCTCCAAGGTAGGTTTGGGAAAGGCCCCTGTCTGAAAGCTTAGAGTTACCACCTAGATGTACCAATAGTTCTTCCCCAAAAATAATTCCTATATTATTTTCCTATGTTTTTATAAAGAAAAAGAGCAAAGCAGATCAAAAGAAGAAATACTGGGGTAATGTGATGTTGCTGTTTCAGGGACAGTCACATACCTATATCCCCATTCATTTCCAACTGGAGTTCCTCTGGGGAGAAAAAGAAAAGAGTCAGGGAGGACAAGAGGACACACATGGAGGACATGAGGGTAAACACTCTGAGCACAGGGGTGGTCAATGGTGGCAGGGCCCAAGTGTCCAACCCACAAAGGGCTGCATTGCCCCATTTTCAAGTCAAAATTGGCCAGATTTTCTGGTTCAAAATAATTTCTGGTTGTGACTTTTGGGTATGTCAGATGTTCTCTGTGTTTTCAGGGTGGGTAGTTATTTTTACCAGGAAAAGATTACGTGTGCAGGGGACTTCAGGGGCTGGGTCTTAGAAGCCACATTTTCCCAACCCATGTCCTAGCCATTATGATTATTAAAACCACCATTTAAGAAGTAATAAAATTCTAGTGTCTCAACTGAGACAGTACAAAAATTCATAACACAGTGGGCCCCTGGTTTGGTTCCAGGACCCCAAAACCCTGAAGTCCCATTGATGATCAATGCTTAATGCTAAAATCCCACTAAATACAATGGCATAGTGAAATGGTGTCCTCTACATAAAATAACAAAATCAAGGTTTAGTTTTTGGAATTTCGGAATATTTTCAAGCTGTGGTTGAATCTGTGAATAAAGAATTCATGGATATGGAGGGTCAACTGTACAGGTGTTACCAGTTAGATCTTTCACTGGTTTTCTCGCTGGCATCTATAGTTTTAAAGGATTTCCCAGGAAAACCACA